GAGCGGGGAGGGAGGGGAAAAATGAGGACCTAATGCCGGGGGTTTAAGTGGAAAGAAAATGTTTTGAGAATGATGAGGGCAATGAATGTACAAATGCACTTTACACAATTGATGTGTGTATGGATTGTGGTAAGAGTTGTATGAGCCCCTAATAAAATGATTTGAAAAAAATTACTGTTTTAAGACACCAAGTTTTAGGGTCATTTGTTAAGCTGCAAAAACATTACATAGTTGACACCACAGTGAATAATTAGGAAAGGCAAAGGGATCAAGCAGATGTATTTATTGTCAATGAAACAAATACTTTTTTTACTGTGGGGAAATAGAAAACATTTGCCATTTTCATATTCTTCACGTGACAATTTAGAGACTATCGCTGTATTCGTGGTGCCTAACCACCACTACTCTTCATTCTGTCTTCCTTTTCCACGACCCTGAACATCAGTAAAAGCTGTTCCCCAAGTATCGAGTTTTCTTTTCCACCTCTCTCCTGCTTAACCTGGTAACTACAAATAACATTACATCTGTTTAAATTTGCCTTTTCTGGATGTTTCTAAGTGAAATATTTGTCCTTTGTACAGACATTTCACTCAGGATGGTGTTTCCAAGTTCATCCATGCTGCAGCATGTACCAGGACTTCAATTCTCTTTCTGGCTAAATAATATTCTATTGAATGTGCATAGCAAATTTTACTTATCCATTCATTCATCCTCTCGCACATCCATATTTTGAATCTGAAGGCAAACTAGCCTTAAACTTCACTGAATAAGTGTACAGCTTGAGACTGCAAACTCTTCAACCCCTTCCTCAATTCATCAGTCCCACATTATATGTGGTATCCTGAAATTCACTTGTTGTCTAGTTACATTCAGGCTTGGAGATAACATGACAGTGCAAACATAAGTGGCAGCCAGAAAATAGCAGAGCTAACACTCTTACATCTAGTATAAGCTCTTCATCTGACATGGTACAAGGTAGAATTAAGAATGATCAAATCACAGGTGAAAAGAACTTAGCCCAAAGCATTCAAAATTAGATAAGACTATTGGAAATATAATACATTCATTATCATTTAATAACTTCACCCAAATGACAGCCAGGCATATGTCCACTAATTATTTTTAAAATATAGTGTAATTTTTGACATACTTAAAATTTTGTTTTAGGCTATACTTCACAATGAAAACATTTATAAGAAAACCAAATGCTAATACATAACACACTATATCATACACGAAACTTATATAAAACAACAAGAAAATGTAAACAGAATGTACATATAAAACAAACTCACTGTTGGTTTTGACTCAGTGACCCTACAGAATGGAGTAGAATTGCCCAAGAGGGTTTTCCACTGTTGTCATCATTCTAAAAGTAGACTGCTCCAGCTTCCTTCCCAACAGCAACTGCTAAATTCAAACCACTAACCTTTTGGTTAGTGGTGAGCACTTTAACCACCATGGGTATGATTCTGTGTATACATGTATGCATGTATGAGGGAGTACCTCCCCCACCCAAAAAACACAGAATTGCGCTGTTTGGAGCTACTGCAGTACATGTTTGTCCCACTATGCAAGCAACTCCCTCTGAGTTAGTGCAGCCCGTGGCCTCGCCTGGGAAGGTTCTCTATGGTCATTGTGAAATATTTTCATGAAAGTTATTTCACTGGAACCTCATTTTTGTGATGGCCCACTTAATAAAACAGTTTGCAGCTGTGAAATTTTGTTTCCTGCTTAGGAAAAATGCTGCAAAAACTGTTGTGATGTTGAACACATCTTACTAACACAAACCTATGGAGGAAAATTTTAAAAACATCACTTTGGAAAAAAATTCAAGTGTATGAATGGTTTTCTCATTTCAAAAAAGGTGAAATGTCTAATCTTGTTCTGGATGTGTCAACTTCCCAAACAGCCCGAAAATGTCGACTCGCAGTGCATTCGGAGTTTGTTCCACCAGGTCAGACTCTTAATGAAGCTTTCTATTTAGAGGTTCTGAAAAGATTGCTTAACACTGTGCACACAAAAGGTCTGACTTGTGGCAAAAGGGGGACTGGCTTTGCCACCACGACAATGCAACTGCTCACACAGTCATCTCAGCACGCCAGTTTTTGGCAAAAAACGCATACTTCTCCTTGCCCCACGCACCTGACCTTGATCTGAGACTTCTTTTCGTTTCTGTAAATGAAGAGGGACATGAAAGGACAGCAATTTTTAAAAAATCATTTTAATGGGGGCTCATACAACTCATCATAATCCATATATACATCCATTGTGTAAAGCACATTTGTACATTTTGTTGCTATCATCATTCTCAAAACATTTGCTTTCTGTTTGAACCCTTGGTATCAGCTCATTTTCCCTCATTCCTCCCCACTACTCCCTCCCTCATGAACCCTTGATAACTTATAAATTATTATTTTGTCATATCTTACCCACTCCGTCACCCACTTTTCTGTTGTCCACCCCCCAGGGAAAAGGTTATATGTACATCCTTGTAATCGGTTTCCCCTTTCCAGCCCACCCTCCTGGTATCGTCACTCTCACCACTGGTCCTGAAGGGATCATCTGTCCTGGATTCCCTGTGTTTTCGGTTCCTATCTGTACAGGTGTACATCCTCTGGTCTAGCCAGATTTGTAAGGTGGAATTGGGATCATGATAGTGGGGGGTGGGGGGAGGAGGAAGCATTTAGGAACTAGAGGAAAGTTTTATGTTTCATCGTTAGCACACCACCCTGACTGGCTCGCCTCCTCCCCACAACCCTTCTGTAAGGGGATGTAAAGTTGCCTACAGATGGGCTTTGGGTCCCCAATCTGCACACACCCCAATTCACAATGATTTGATGATTTTTTTTTCCTTTGATGCTTGATCCCTGATCCCTTTGGGGATCCCTTTGATTCCAAGAATGGAATCACAGATTTGATACATATATTAAGTGTAATAGAGTACTTTGAATGTGATAAGGTTGTTTTGTAAAAAAAATTTTAATACATCACTTTGGAAAAAAATCTTTTTTTGGGGGGGGTACCCCCTCGTATGTATATAGAAATACACTTGTATACATTGTGATGTGAGTGTAAAATAATTTTTTATTGTCATTAAGGGAATATTTTTATTTTTAATGTGAATTACATTGCCATAAGCTCTAAAAAGCAGTGCTGTTTTAAAATCATCTGACAACAATTCTATGATGCCAGCATTACTCTGACATGAAAATCAAACTAACACATTACAAGAAGATTAAACATAAATACATCTCACAAACATAAAAGCAAAAGTTTTTTAGCATATCAAATTGAAAAGGATAGTATAATATGGCCACGTGAGGTTTATTCCAGGAATACAAGGATGGTTTAGCATTCACAATAAAAAAGAAATTCTGGTCATATCAGTAAAGACAGAAAAACTATTTGAAAAATTCCAATATTAATTCCTAGCAAATGTTAAATGTTAACAAAAGATGAAACTGGTTAAACAGAATAGGGGTATGTTTTGCACTGTTTATTTTATTCCTTATACTTTAAGTATTTCCAAATAAAGCTGTTTTATTTTTTTTAAATAATATATAAAAACTCTTAGTCCAGTTCCTGGAACAAATTAAGAGTTTAATAAATATTAACTAAGGGTGGTCTGGTGGGGTAGTGGGTTAGCCAGTTCGAAACCACCATTTGCATGAGGCTGTCCACTCCTGTGAAGATTTAAAATTTAGGCTACCCAAAGGGAAAGTTGTACTCTGTCCTATAGGATCGCTATGAGTTGGAATTGACTGAATGTCATCAGGCGTTTTGAGTTCTTTTAAAATATTTAATAATAAACAATTACCTAATTTAATCCTTCACTTTATAGATGACAAAAATCCAGGTCTTACACAAATTCAAATACAAAGTCATTCTGATAATGACTAAACTTAAGTCTCTAAAACCACGCCCCCAAACCCTCTAACCATCACAAACATGAATGCATAATGGCTAACTATGGTTCTTTATCTAGTTACACCCAATCATAGCTTAAAAAAAAAAATCACAACCAGTCACAAACATGACATTTTATGGAATTTCATCAAAACCATGAGAAAGAAGATAAAAAAATGAGATCTCGATCTGAGCTAAATAGATCTGGGAGACAGAATGGGAGATCAGAGAGAATCTGGAATCTATCACCTTGACAGCGCCTGAGAAAGAGAAGGCAGTATTGCTATGGACAAATGGCAACGCAGTTAGATCTGGACATCTGCCCATTCAGTTGGGATAGTTGAAGATTAAATCACTAAAAGAAAGACAAAGAATCTTTTCCCTAACCCAAGATAGCATAATGATTACATGATTTGGGCTGCTAACCACAAGGTTTGTAATTCAAAACCACTAACTGCTCCTTGAGAGACAGACAAAGCTTTCTCCTCCTATGAAGAATGACCATCTCAGAACCACAGGAACAGGTCTACCCTTCTCTATAAGGCCATTATGAGTTGAATCAACTCGATGTTTTAAGTTTTAAAAATATCCACACACCTCAGGGAACAGGCTGTGCAACTGCCCTGATTCTCAAAGGAACAAGCCACTTTTCCCATCAGATGTGCTGAGCCTGGCTCAGAACTTTACAGTCAAGGTGTAACAATCTCAGTAATGCCACAGCTACACCACTGCGACAAATCAGTTCTGACATAACTCAGAAGCTTTTATGGTTTAGAAGGCAACACTTGTTTTATGGGATGGAACTGTAAGTGAGCAAATGTGTCATAAATTGCCAGTTGAACATGGCTGACAGGCTTGACATAAAAGGAGTCACCTCCCATTATACATACAGAAGCCAGACCAAATAGAACACATACAGACAGACAAGCCCAAATGGAATAATGGAAAATTCCATACTGCCAGAAATAACACAAACAAAAACCAAAAAAAATCTGTTGCCATCAAGTCAATTACAGCTCACAGCAACCCTGCTGAACAGAGAAAAATAACTGGCTTACAGGGTTTGCCAGGATGTAACCTTTATGAAAGCAGCTTGCCACCTTTTTCTCTCTGAGCAAGGAGGAGTCAGGAACAGAGGGAGGACATGGAATGTGCAGCCAATTGTCTCCATGAACAACTGAGACTAGAAGAACTGGATGGTGCCTGTACATCACTGACTATTTTGATCACAGATTCCACCAAAGAATCATAATCAAAAGTGGGGAAAAGCAGAAATGAATTTCAAATTCTCATGGACTCCAGACTTCAGCCATGGAGATTAGTGAAATCTCCGAAGCTAATGTCCTGAGATTATCTCTAATCTAAACCTTAATTGAAAATTTCCCAATGTCTTCTTAAAAACAAATACTAGTTAACTCAACTAGTAAATAAGCCTGCCTTGAGCATTAGGTTCATTTGAGAACTATTTATTACGTGGGATCAAAATGACAGCAGCAACTCAAAAATTTAGACAGGAACCTTAGGAAGCAGTGACTTCTGTTAAAGGGGGAAGAATAATTGAGAAAAGGATGTGAGAATGTTTGCATAATTCTAAGAATTGCAGTATAGTGATTTACTTAATATGGCCTTTTTAGCTATGCATGATATTAACAAACAAACAAACTCACTGCCATTAAGTCAGTGCTCACTCTATGTATCGACCCCTTGTGGGTTTCTGAGACTGTAATTGTTTAAAGGAGTAGAAAACCCAATCTCTGCCACGGAGCTGCTGACGGTTTCAAACTGCCATATGGATCATAGTAGCCTAATTTGTAACCACTATACCACCAAGGCTCCTATATGATCATATAACACCCACATGATGATTGAGTGGGCTTATACAAATAAAGTGCTTGTGGCCCACCCAGGGGATTGGGCACTTTGCTAGCAATGCAAATACGGTGCATGGACCATTTGTGGGAGTGAAGCCATTCAAATTAGGTACACAGAACCCTTACGAGGGGTTCAGTTTCGCCATCTCACTAAGAAGCCAATTCCAAGCAGAGACGAGACACCTCATTACCATCAGGAGAGTAAAGCCATGGGTGGAGTGAAAAGTGAAAGAGTTGTAGCCCCACAAATGGACTAAAATGGTGAGAGGCAGAGGCAGAGAAAAAGCAGCAGGAGAACCAGGAGACCAGAGCAAGATGGTTTACTGGATACAGAGCATAGCAGCTGGGGTGGACCTGCCAAGAGAGCAAGTGCCTTCAGACAGGCAACTTACTGTCACAGCAGGGTGTCATGGGCATTCATCAGCAGAGCTAGAGAGCTTTGAAACAACTGAACTGAGCAGAGCTGGGTCCAAGCCTGCATGGTCAAGATGAGCTTAGAGAACTGGCCTGCACTGAAAACACACTTTGTCTACATGCTTCCTGACCCGGATCCGCAGCAGCAGCCTGTTATAACCTGATCTCAAGTACCTTGCTACTTCCTAATAACCCATAATCAGTTGTATGTTCCATGAGTTGTGTGGCCACCGTAGAGTGCCGGTATTAAAACTGGTATAAAGACTGGAGAGAAGAAGTCTGTCTGTCTGACCTGTCTCACAGGAATCAGCCTTGGACTGATGCTGATGGTAATTCTCCCCCCTTGTGAAGGTAGACCTCTGATGCCATCACGTCATTTTTACAGTGATCAATGATAGAACTGACAGTAGACACTACTGAATGAGTATATGTATGTCTTGCTATACATTCTCAAAAATAAATTAGAACAATCTTCTTAAAGTCTGTTAAAAAAAAAAAAGCCAGAGCTTATGTGGGAAATGAGGGAAGGGCAACGAGACTTAAAAACTTCCCCTCAGAATGTATTAATGCCTAGCTTCAGGAGGTTGCAAAGTGAGATGAACTTCAAAGCTGCACACTAGCAGCAAGGGCAGGAGAGGAAACTTTCAGCATGAAAACACTTTCAAATATAAATATTATTCATATTAAGACTGACAGTAATTTCAGACTAAGTATTCGTGATGAAAAATAAGGCAAACCAAGGATAGCAACAGAATAGTTAACTTCTAAACCAGCAGATGAGAAAAAAATAAAATTAAGAGTTCAATAAAATCCAGGCACATGGTATCACAAACACAGGATGGTCAATGTTTTAAAAAAATAATTTCCAGCTATTAAGTTGTTCATAAGCAAAAGCAAAAACAATCACAAATGTTGAAAGTAAAGGTTTGAAAATGATATGGCAACCATATACTACCAAAAATATAAAAGAATTTAAAAGTG